TCCAACTTGAACCGGAACCATCCGAGGCTACCTCGTCAGTTTCTTAATTCATGGAACGAAATTAAGATTGTCCTCGTTAATTCTCCCTAAGCCACCTCGTTGCCTCGTTTGTCCTCGCTATAATTTGTGCAGAACAATCTTTATTCTCTGAATTCAACCAAACATTTTGCCTGTATATTCTATTCAAATATAGTTATACACTTCCCTCTCCATTCAAGTGCACTTGATGGACATTGATAGACTATATTAAATCTCACCTACCCTACCTCTCCTTCCCCACCATGTAGCATTTCGAGTTCCTCCTTCCAGGCGGCTGGTGGTTGTCGCGGTCCGATTTCCCCTCTCGTGGATCGCCCAACTGCAGCAGCAGCTTCATGGTGGCGAGAGGGTCTTCATCCCAAGCATTGCGCAGCGCGGTGTACAAGGCATCCTTGGGGCCCACTGGTCTCACCCGGCCTGTCTCAGAACACGAAGAAAATCTGTCGAAGATTTTGTGGGTCACATGTGGTCATCCCTTGGCGGTGTGAGAGGTCCCTGCGGTTCGACTCCAATTCCCCACCTTGACACCAATATTGAGGGCCTCTAGTGCAGGTCGTGCAGGTCACCAGCTCAGGGCTCCTTCAGTTCATCTGCAAACCATAGCTCGAGCTGCCCCCGGAGCGAAGGGGGTTGGCTAGTTCCCACTACCCAACGGGAGTCCTCGGAATCTTGGGCGGATGGCGGGGCCCCCCCCCGCACCTGGCCTTGATCTTAAAGTGCACCCAAGGCAATTGGCTAAATCAATGAAACCAATCCGGACGAGTCTACCGTGGTCGACTGTCCAACTGAAGCAGTGTGGCCGCCACACATGGCCACGCCGACTCTGCGCGACTGATGCCAAGGGGCTCGACTGATGCCTGGCACCACTGTGAACAGGAAGTCTACACCTCAGGTGTTTCCGGAGTCATGTCTAAGCACAAAACTGGGCGGCTCATCTTCTCAAGCAGCCCATATTCATCACCAGAACCAATAGGATTTACCTTGCCCACCATCTCAAACAAATGTCATCAGGGCGTCATTGGATCGTCATGTTGGATATTTGATTGTGTTTTCCAATGTCAAACATAAACCAATCTACCAGGACACCCGGACCAGGGGTGTCTCTTGTTAGCCCCTTCCAGAGGTGATTCGGGGTATCCATGAACACCACCCCGACCGTCAGTCCACGCTTGGACCGGGCGAACGGCGGGACCAGACCAGCGGACCGATGTTCGAAGCGAATCCAATCCATCCTGAAACTCCTCTGAAAGGCGTGTGAAACGAAGCGTCTGAAAAGGTCAACGAGCGACTGGGGAAGGGGGGCGACTGAAACCTGAAGAAACGCATTGACCTAAAAAGACGTGCCAATCGAACGTCCGGCGTTGAGGCCGGGGGACGATGCGAAGCAACACGCGGGCTTGCGAAGCTTGGACAATGAAAAGCCTTCGCAAGCCTTTCTTGAAGGAGTGAGTCTCTGTCATTTCTATTTCAACATAGTGAAACTGAGCATCACCTCCACCAAAATAAAATTGAGCTGTGCTCAAAACGTGTGGCATCTGCCTATGTCGTAAGACTTTCCTTACGCAGCAGCTTACGCCTGGCTTACGCCACCACAATGGCAGCTTACGCGCACACTTTGCACACAAAGGGGCTTACGCAACACTTACGCGAACACAATCTTGCACCCGGCCACAGCGCCAGCTTACGCGCCATCTGTTTTCCAAGCAAAGCACAGCACACAACAGGTTTGTTACGTCCGCGGGTGTAGGGTTATGAAGTCGGGTTTTAGCCAACCATTGGAAATCATGATTTAATTATTTAGCAAAAATGTTGCAGATTTATTTAGAGAGGGGGGAAGCACCTGGGAATCTATAGTGCTTCACATTAGTGAAATAGATTAGGGTGGGGAAAGCAGTCTGAGACAAGTCCTGAGATATCCTGAGATGCCAGAGAGAGAGAGAGAGAGAGAGCAGGCAGACTCCGGTTGCGGTGTGCTTCGGGCTCATGGTTATGCCCGGTTATGCCATATAGCCTATCTGGGCCTATCTCCATTGTTCAACCCCTGTTTGTCGGGTCAACAAGTCACGGTTCAGTAAACTAGTCACTAGTCACTGGTCACACTCCGCTGCCAGCCTATTCCTCTTCTATTCTATTGTGTGAGGGTTTCAGAGTCGCTATTTTTTTTCTCTATTTTGGATGTCATGATATGGTAGTTTTTTGCTATTTTTCGAGGAAATAGCAAAAAAAATAGCAAATCCATTAGCAGGCGGGAAATATTAGTGGAACACAATAGTGAGAGACATAGAGCAGGGCAGGGGAACTGCAAATAGTTAGAGCGGGAATAGTGAGAGAAAAAGAGCAGGGCAGGGAAACTGCAAATAGTTAGAGCGGGCCTATAAGCCCGCTCGCTGCTAGCTACTTACTAGCTAGGACCTAGGACCGAGGACTTACAGGGCCACCGAGAGACAGGAAGCTGGGATACATCAGGGCCATGCAAGCTGGGATACGGACACCTCTCTTTTTAGGTTTACTAAACTTTTGATGGTGCTATTTCTCTCTCTAATTAGGTTTACTAAACTTTTGATGGTGCTATTTCTCTCTCTAATTAGGCTTACTAAACTTTTGATGGTGCTGTTTCTCTCTCTAATTCACTTAGCAGTTATTTTGCTAAAATAATCTTTTCATGTCTACCAGTGGTTCCCTGAGCACAGCTTCATAAGTGTAGGGCAGTGAGAAGCCAGGATTTCGTAGATGGTCTGGACAATGCGTTGCCTTTGGCGCCATTGCGAGTCAGAAAAAGCCTGCTCTTTAGGAGGCATCGTGGGCCACCGGGGGCTTACGCGCAGCTTACGCGAAGCTTACGCGCGCCTTACGCGTATTACCGACACCAAAACCGATAACTGCATGGTGACATAGTGTGTCTGACAACTGCTGGTAGACTTTATGGCTACGGGAGTTGTTTGTATGGCTATAGGAGTAATGTTTGCATGTGTCGACCCATAAAATCTCTGTCCTGATGCCTATGTCCTGTATATAAATGACTACAGGAACCCCAAGAACCCTTCTTTCTGTGGAGCCAATCACCTTCGACCATACCAATTGCCAAGAAAAAGATCCAATGCAAGGCTTCATCAACAAAGGTCTCCTATAATTTCCAAACATTTCAAGAATACATGTGACATGTATGTTAAATTTCGACTTGCTTACGCAGCACGCTTACGCAACCTTACGCACATCAGAGTTTTGCTTACGCGAAGGATTCATATGACAAGCCCACTACTAAACATGAACAGGGAGGTTCTTAGCGCGGCTCAATTGATTTCTTCATCCAGGAGTCACAAGACGGAGTGGTTTTTAGTCCCATCCAGTGAGTGGACATTGGGCACCCCCCTTTGTGACTCCTGGATGTGACTTTTGAATATTAGGACAATATAGGACAATGGGCTTTGGGTGGGGCAATGGTCTGGCCCCGCCTGTGGGAAGACTGCTGTGTTCCTCTAAAAAGGGTGTTATGGCTGTGGAAAAACTGGCACCAGGAGACCAACCGGTCGACCTACCTGGAAGGTCAAGATTTGTGGTGGACCAGGGCTGAAGGTTTTGATTAATTTAGTGATAGTGTGGTTTAGTCTAGAGTCTAGTTCCAAACTCAGCGAGGAAGCACCGTGTCTTGGGCGTGCCAAGCCGACCAGCTCCAGCCTGACTTTTGCTGCCGAAGCACAAGCTTCGCCAGAGCTATCCAGTGCCACTGCCCCGTTCTCAGTAAAGGCCGTGCGACTGCCCGTGACCGACGCTCCTTGCGTGGCCACGGCGGCACGTGTGATGGAGCGGCTCTGGCGTAGTGCTGCAGCCCGCGCCCGCGAACGCATGCGCTGGCCACCTGCGATGCCAGTGAGCATCAGGATGCCAGCATGGAATCCTGCAGTTGTGGGACGTGTCTGGTCAAGACAGGGATGCAGGCTGGTTGGATTTCCAAGGTTGATGGAACAAAGCTGAAGTCTCCAAATAACAAAACATGTCCAGCGTTTCCCAGATTGAACCCTGCAACCTAGTCAACCTACAACGGGCCTGTGGCCGGCCTTATGTGAGTTGACCCATTTCCAACTTTGATCGCCAGATTCGCATTTCTTGATCTCATGCTCCGGTCGCTTGGGGGGTCGCTTTGGGGGTCTCTGCCTCCACGCACCACGCACCGGTGGATGTATCCGACATTGCTTGTTGGAATCTCTTCATGGAAAGAAACTCTGAAGATTGACACTGGGAGCAAATGTTTCAGTTGTTTGGATAGGCCATTATTCCCATGGCGCGCTGCGTAGTTCCCATGTGCGTAATATGAGAAGCAAAAACAATCAATTACCAGAACCGGGCTGGCTGCCGAATGGTGAGGGGACGCTGGGCGTCTGGGTTTAATCGATTTGGTCTGAGCAATACTTTGAGGTCCTCTTTGGTGAAAACATGCCCCTGCTGTCATGGACTGCAAGATGCGCAAACTCCCCAAATTTACGGGTAAAGACAGCCTTAATGTTCTGCAGAATATATCAATAAATATCAATAATCAACACAAAACACACATATGGTAATCATTAGCAGTACCTCGAGGTTACTCACTGTTTGATCTGTGTCCCTGTTTGGATGCCTTAAAGACTCTCCACAAGCCATTGGTAAGCCGAACAACACGTATTAGATGTATTAGTATGTCCGTTGCTTGCTTCGACGCTCCCCATCGACTTTTCCACACCCGTACTTCCTGCTACATCGAGGCTCTTCGATCATCTCCACTCGAGTGGCCCCCGTGTCGAAGTTCCGTCTGCCATCCACCAGCGCCCAGCGCTCGTGCTGTCCACCGCCACGTGCGTGCAACGCTGGGCGTGAGGCCCAGCGCCATGACGGCCGCGTGCGGTCACAACCGGCGCGGTGTTCCGGCGGGGTCTTTCGGTGGACGGAAAGGGGGAGTTCAGAGCCCAAACGGCTCAAAGAGGTTCGCGCGGGTTCCTTCTTTCTTCCGAGAATGGCCTAAGGAATCATATAGTCATATGATGTCAAGGTTTGATTAGGCAAGACTTGGAACACCTGACCCTCTTTAGCATGACACAATCATAAAAGCTCCTTCAGCTGTTCCTTCCCCTGCCAGGTCTTTCTTAATATCCTTTGACCAAACGGGCACCGACACGGACGGTCCACGGACGGTCTACGTCCGTGCTCTCGGTGTGGAAGCAAGCTGGGAGCTGGACCGCTCCTTCATCAAAACAACGAAAGCACACATAATGGAGGATCCCCCCAAACGTAAGAAGCAAGTGCTTTTTGGCGGTTTGGTGGCTTGGGAGGATTCGCCAGTGGTGGGGCGTTGAGACACCCAAATTCTATCAAATTCTCCTCCTGTCCCGAGTGGACTGGGCCTTCAGCACACCAAGACGCTGGCGCCACGAGCGTTGCCTGCTCTCGCTCTCGCTCTCGCTCTCTCTCTCTCTCTCTCTGGGCTCTCCAAATCAAATGGAAACATCCACATGATGGCGGTAGCTGGACCTTTCGTTACCGACTCTTAGAATCTATTTAACATTTAGGATCATTTAGGCTAAATGTAGTGGCAGTATGTGGCAGTGGTATATTGCCAGATCCACTGCGCCAAAACGATGCCATGGGGACCATTCTTGCCATGTTTGGGTGTAGAAGGTGTGTAGAAAGCAACACTATAAGACTGAAGCTATCTAAAGCTAAAGAATGGTCCAGATTGTTGTTTATGAGGGTCATCAAAAGCAATGTCCAATGGAGAGTACCTCAGGAGATCGTCGGTATCTAGCCAGGTGACCCTTTGGAGGATCCGCTGTGGACCATCTGCCGCGGATCTGGAAGCCGTCTCTCCATCCAACAGCTACTAGGAACAAGGACGCTACTAGGGGCTCCTGGCATCGCTACTAGGAGCAAGGACGCTGCTAGGAAGGCGTGAAGGAGGTTGTTGCTGACTCAGCTAGTTGCTTCTGGTTGGGTCGACCGAGCTGCACATGCACGTTTTCTGCACCATCTCGCGTCACGTGTGCTCCGCTTGTTTTCGAGAGAACCGCCGGTTCGAACCGGGGTTCTAAGGCGGTCTAAGGCGATCTTGATCAGCCAGGCTCTTGTGGCCTGGTGGGTTCTGGTGGTTGGGCGCATCCAGCCGATGTGTGATCTTCAACCCGGCAACCTGAAAGTTATTGTTTTACAATGTTTTACCTCTGCTTTGGAGTACCAACCTATTTATATATATATATATATTATATATATGTGTGTATATCATGGCATATCCAGTGGCTGTCGATACTGTCAGGGCGCTTGTGTCGTGTCAATCCCCTCATCGGCCAAAGAATCTGTAACATCCTGTGGTCCACAAACCTGGCGTTCCCAAGCCTTCCTGGGTGTCTCTTCAGTATAATCTGGTCTCTCCAATTCTGCAGTCCCATACCATCGGATACTCCATCGGCATGATCCTGGTGACCTTACTTCAACTTAGTTGGGCTGAAATCGCAGCGGTCGCCCTCCACTGGATCCACTGGATCCGGGCTCTTCCTTCCTTCAGCGCTCCTTTCATCCCGCTCCGTTCGCGCCCACGCCCTTCAGCTGCCGGATCCTCAGCCGCCGGCGCCGATCCGTAGCGCGGGCACCGAGCAACGGAACCAAGTCACCACCTGCGACTGTCTAAAGCCACCAGAGGACACCTGTTGGAGGGTGCTGGTATTGTAATCACACACGTAATATATATGTATATATATATGTATTAATTAATATTGTAATATGCATGCACACCTTGTCACATTTGAGCAACCAAATCACTTGTGCGGGCACGAAAGCAGGTCGGCCACTCGTGGTGTGGGCCGACCGCATCGCGAGCGCTTCGCTACAACATGCGATTTGTTTCTTAACGCTTTTAAGTTCAGCACACTTCGTCAGCTGGACTTCTGCTCAGCATTCCAACCAGCTGTTTGTGACGCAGTGCTCGACCTGCCCACCACGAGGCTTCAGCTGTTAGTGCGGCCCAAAGACTCTTCCTGCAAAGCATTGGTCCGTTCAACCTGCGATGGCCGATGGATGGCGGTCAATCCCATTGGTCGGTTCATTTACTTTGATATCATCTATATAACCCGGGCATGTATGGGCATGTGCGGGTTGAGAGCAACCCACTCTCCACCCCCATCGCTAGCTTCTGGACCACTCCGGTTTTTGTTGTGAGTTTTGGTGGACCAAAACCAGTGCATGGCCATAAAGGGCCTTCTCGTCCAACCAAAAACCGCCTGGAAGATTCGCATAGAACCAGCTTCGACCTCTACGATGACGACTCAGGGGTTGGTCTTCGGACAAAAATCGTCTGCTCCACCGTCCGAAGAGTCGAGTCCATGTCCCCATGGACTCCACGTGATCCTCTGCTCGAAAACTTCAGTCTGCTCCATGTCCATGTCACTTCGCTGTCCACCGTCTACCTCCTCCCACGGGGCCCCTCGCCCCTGCAATCCACCGTGCAACGGCCGGAGCAGAAGGCCGGAAAGGCCGGGAAAGAAACACGCGCGCGCGCTCCGAACGGGGTGGCCAAGAAGGAACCAAGCAGTTTCTTCTTTTTCTTCATGCTTTTCCGTCCACTGGATGTTCCACCTATCCGATAGCGCATCGCATCTGGTGGTTCCTTCAAGGATCCACATCCACGAAGGACGAGTCGTCCGATCCTGACCTGCAATTGCATCTGCTTCGTGAGATCTGCGATGTTCTTGGACAGCCGAGTGATTTCATCCTCGGAACGACTGCCGGTGGACTGCAGGAGAGAGGTCTCCTGCCTTGGAATGTGGCTCAACTGAAAAGTACTCGCCATCCCTATGATTATGATTGTATGTTCAAGGGCCTGTTGCTTGAACAATGATGTTTTTGCTGGTTGTTGATACCCTGTGCTGTGGGAAATGACAAAAATGATCCAACATGCGATATCAACTCATCAGGAGCTAGCAACGACCCTTATATCTACCGTATATATATATACACAGTATTTCTCATGTACACATAGTGACAGTATGGTGTCCAAAAACAATGGTTTAATTTGGTTGAATAGTCTCATGAATCCATTGTTTTGGGACACCATCACTCAGAGACTCTATAGGCCCTCTTTTTTCCATGAATGCATGATATAAAACAATATATATATATATGTATATGTATAGCATGTACACCTATCATCGCCTCCCTCCCTTTTCGGCCCTCCCTTTTGGTTGCTGGGAGCCCCCAGCCACGGCCAAAGAGACCTTTTGGTTCGTCTCCACCACCTCAGAAGGGCAAGTCGGACCCACCGGTGACAGGACGGCAGAGACCAAACCGCTTCAGGATCGGACCTGCGGCGGGTTTGAACTGGGGGAATGTGAAACAGCGAGACGTCCGACTTCGTGGGTTCGGCTCTGTTCTGCATGGCTCACCGCCCCCCCGTCCCAAGCCCCCCCCGCCCACAGAATCTGCAACATGTTCAGTCAGGGAACTCCCGGAAATCAAAAGTCTCCCATCAGTTGAAACTGTTTGGAAACACGTTGAAAACACCAAATACATCCAAATACCATTGTAGCTGGCCAAAACCCCCCTTCAGTCTAAAGGATTGGCACTCCAATAAAACTCTCTCGGATGACCTGTGGAGACATCCGATGACCAAACGGGGCGCGAAAACCAACAAGCAAAAAGAACCCCCAAATCTATACCCCGTTGATTGGACCACAAAAGAGGGAGGTTGTTCAAATTGTGTTTTGATTCTCTTACCCCCCAAAAAGGGGGTTCTTCAACTCCTTAGAGAATAGATTACCAGCAAAGATAAATTCACCCAGCGATGCCTAAATTTGCATGCTTTGCGAGAACAGGGGAAAATACATGAAAATACTCAGCCTTTGGCAGAATCACTGGGCTTCAGCCGCGCAAGTCGTGGGAGAAACGATTCAATGGTTGAGCAGCCAACACATCTCTCAGCTCTTCACCTTCCTCGAGCGCTGTGTGTTTCACATTGAATATCATTGAATGCTAGATGCTTCCAGGAAGGAGCAATTGTTCGGTTAGTAGATCAACGGAAACGCAATCTACACCATCTCTGTCGATTAAGGGCTCGACAGCTTGAGATAAAGGATTGATGTTATAATGATGCTATTAAGTTGATGTGTATGGATCTTCAAACGGCACACTTTCTTGCCGGAGGCATTTTTCAGTGGAAACACAAAACCGCCATCATCCAAACACATGCCGTTTTAGGGGTTGCAAACATGTGCTCAAAATCCGTGGACGGGAAAAACGCTGTTTGGAAGCCTCACTGCGCTGTTTCCTTTTGGTTTCCACCTGGTCAAAAAGACGCAGCCGTTGAGAAAGGACGCCGTAACGGCAGTTTTTGCTTGAAAAGGCAACGATTTGTGCCGTTTTGAAGATCCAGGTAATATACAACCAGAAATCACAGCCAATCTCCCTCAATCGGTCTTTCTTGGAGCTCATCAGGCTTATGATATTTTTGTGTCGCGATCAAACGATCCTGAAAGAGGCTGTACAAATGGTTGGAAGTGCAAAGCAAAGGGACCATGTACACAATCAGTAAGTAGTAAGGTCTTCAACCAGTGTATGCAAATGGAAAGGCGTCCACACCACCTTCTCCCAAGTTTTGCAAGGTTTCTTACCCGGCGCCATACTCCAGGAGCAGCTTCGCCAAAGACTCATGGTCGCCTTGAACTGCATATTTGAGCGCACTAACACCTGCATTCTCAGGAGCCATTGCACTAGCACCATTCTGAAGCAGCAGCTTCGCGACAGACTCGTGGCCACCAAACGCAGCCAGTTGGAGTGCAGTAGAGCCATTTTGGTCTGCGGCGTTTGCATTGGCGCCATGGTCCAGGAGTAGCTTTGTCAAAGATTCATGGCCACCAAGAGCAGCATACATTAGGGCAGTGGAACCATCCTCATTTGTAGCATCTGCGTTTGCACCATTCTCCAGCAGCAGCTTCGCCAAAGACTCATTGCCACATTCAGAAGCACTCATCAGTGCAGTGCCACCTGTGTTGTTTCCAACACATGCATTGGCACCATACTCTAGCAGTAGCTTTGCCAAAGACTCATGGCCACCTTGAGCAGCATACATCAGCGTAGTGATGCCAGTGTGGTTCGCTGCCTGTGTATCTGCCCCATGTTCCAACAACAGCTTTGCAACAAGCTCATGTCCACCAAAAGCAGCAAGCTGGAGCGCAGTGACACCATCTTTGTCTGCAGCCCCTGCATTCGCCTTCTGCTCTAACAGTAGCTTTGTCAAAGACTCATGACCACCTTGAGCAGCATACATCAGCGCAGTGGCACCAGCTTTGTTGGCAGCCCCTATCTCTGCACCATTCTCCAGCAAAACCTTTGCCACAGACTCATGGCCCCGTTGAGCAGCCAACATCAACACAGTCTTACCATCGTTGTCTGTCGCCCTTGGGTCTGAGCCAAGCTTCAGAAGCAGCTCCGCCGTAGGTGCCTCCCTTGCATTCATGATCAAAACATTCAACCAGGCTGCTCGCTCTTTGATCGTGGCAAAACTTGTGCAAATCTCAATCAGCTGCTCTTCGGTGAAGGATGCTCCATATCGACAACACTCTGCTGCTGGCACATAGTCGCCCCTAGCAAGTAAAACTCGAAGCATGCTGGTGGACAGCAGCGAGCGAATATAGTCATCGAAAGTGGAAAAACAAAGCCCGCCCAATCCATCAAGCCCCTCTTTATCAACGATAGTGTCGAAAAACTCTTTGACAGTTCTTGGCTCTAAAATACTCCTCCAATGTCTGTCTGCAGTTTCTGCCCAAATTCTGTACTTGTCTGCCTCGGTGGAACTTTGAGCCTTGGAAGCAGACACCTCCCACAAAGCCTGGCAGGTGGCTTGCAGCATCTTTGTCGCTCCAGCGTCTGACTGCGATGCACGCGAGTCAAGCTCTGAAAAGGGTCCCAAGTCACAAATCAGCTCAAATGGCTTTTGCAAGTCTTTGAGGCGAGATACCTCAAAGAGACACCAAATACGTTTGAACGGGTTGATTTGCTCATCCAGAACCATCACAGCACCAGCCGCGGCTTGTGCCAGAGCTGCATTGAATGGTCCCTGCCTGGGATTCTGGCCGACCTCTGCAGTGACATCATGTTGATTTAAAGCGAAAAGACAAATCCAAAAAACCACCGATTCGATGTGGCCGACTTGCAGCCTCTGGGAGTGGCCATTGGCCCAAAGGCCAAGAGCCCTTACCGTGCTGCTGAACAAGTGACCCCAATAGTGCGACACAAAAGAGTGGACGTAAAGACCATAAGGATTCAGCAACTCTGAAAAGGAGGATGCTCGAGTGGCACAGGGAATAGTTTGTTGAGCATCCTGTTCGCGGGCTGCACAATGGCCTGGGGTGGACATAGGAGTCACCACAAAGGTGTCAAAGGCATAAAGATTGGGGCATTGCTGGAATCTTTTACCTTCTTGGATGGCCATCCGATGGCTTTGATTGAACGATTCGCACTGCTGATCCAACCAGCCAGACTTGATGAACATGGTCTCCAGGCGCTTCAACTGGCCCAATGCCATACCCCGCAAGGAGTGTGGGACAGTTCCTCGCTTGAACCAAGCCAAAAGAACTGCTAAAACACAGGTGCGTTCCAGGGCCAAAAACAACATCGACTGCACCCGGGGGGTCTGCAAAAGGGAACAACAAGCAGTGACTTAAGAACTAGACGACGAGCGGCCCGAAAGCACTTTTCATCACATAGGAAGTCAGAGTGCGAGTTCTCTGTTAAGTGTGCAGTGAGAAGTGTTAAGTCGAGTGAGTTGAGGTAGTGTGTGGGTTTCTGTGTGTATCTATGTCCGTGTGTATATGAGTCTGCGTGTGTGTGTGTGTGTGTGTTCGTGTAAGTTGACGCAGTGCGTGGGTGTCTGTGTGTGATGCGGCCTCCCAAACCCCCCACCGGCGGCCAAGCGGTGACAGCTCTCATCTTCTAGCTCCCCACATACTCCGCCTACTACAGTTGTACTACAAAGTCGCCAGTTCTCATCTTCCAGCTCCCCAGCTACTCCGCGTACTACAGTTGCACTACCAAGTCACCAGTTCTCATCTTCCAGCTCCGCAGCTAGTCCGCGTACTAAAGTTGTACTACAAAGTCGCCAGTTCTCAGCTTCCA